CATGGAGACAAGAACTCGGTGTGGCTGATGGGGAGCAGGGCCTGAGCCCCAGATGATTCCGAAAGCCCCCTCCCCCCACTGCCTGCCTCCAGTCTCAGACCGACCGACCGACGGGTCTCTTCCTGGAGCACCCGGGACATGGCCCAGTGAGCCATGAATCTCCACCATGGGAGGGCAGGAGAAGGGTTGGGGAAGGCGAGGGGCTCCGTTTGAAAGATTGGGGCAACGGAGGTGGCTTCACCATCCACCCTCTGTCTTGTAGAGACTTGTGGTTTGTAAATAGTTGGTCAAGAAAGGTCACCTAAAGGAGCCGTTGTTCTTACTGCCGCCTCCGCATCCAGGGTGCACAGCAGGTGTTCATTCCATTCAGCTGGAAATTAATGGACCTTCTTGTTCTCGGGCCATCATGGCTTGAGCTGATATGGGCTCAGGTCCTTCTCATGGGTGTCGTTGTGGCCGAGAGCCAAGCTGTGAGCACAGGGGAGCTGGGACGGGGAGTCGGGGAGGGCAGGGGTCACAAAGAGGGTCTAGGACGCCTTCAAAGATGCCTTCCCCCTTCTGAGGCAGCCCCTATCCATGGAGGGACCAGGAGCTTCTAAGATGGTGGGTGCTGTTTGCACGGCCCTGGTTGTCCCGGTGCGGGTGCATCTTGTTGCTAGGGGCTTATTTAGAAAATGAATTAACTTGAAAACACAGTGGCTGAGATATTCATTTATTCTTTATGATCACATGGGTGGCTGAGTTAAAATTTTTATTTTGGAAGTTCACCAAATGAGTTTGGAGGTTCCTCAGACTTGGAAGGAAGTTCATTACTTGGAACCCTCAATGGCATTTGAAGATGGGGCGGGGCATGGAGGCATTGGTCCCTCCCTTCCTTCTCAAACTTGGAGTAACCATCTCCCTTGCCAACCACTTGGCTGGGACAGGCCTAGGACCTGCTCAGTGGCAATGCCTGGCCAGGAGCTGGCGGAAGCCTCAGTCAAGGGGTTTCATGAAACTTCTTTGCTCAGGGAACTTCTCTTCCAGCTGAGCACCTGCATGTTTGTAAACTGCTTTGGAACAGAGATCCCCTGCACTCCTTCTGTAGAGGGTGTAAGTTTTAACAAGGTTAGCCCTTACTGGAGGTGCTATAGTTAAGCTACAGAGAAGGGGATTTTAATCCTGGGGAGCCTTCCAACAACTCAGAACCCTCTCACCTTGTTTAGGCCTCACTGGGCATGGCTCCGCAGTGGTGAGGGTGCTTTGTTGCCACGGTGACTTGTAAATGTTGCTATGGTGATGCTTCTGTGAGGTGATGCTGTGGTACAACCATAATGAATTTGGGATATATGTGCTGTGAGTCATATGACCATGCTGCAGGGAGCAAGCATTAAACCTCAAACAATACGGCCGTGTTCACATCTTGCTTAGACTGGGTGACCAAGGGCACATGGCTTCCCGCTTTTAGAAGGGCCAAAAGTAGCAATGATGGCAAAGCCTGTTGGTTAGGATCCCCGTGTATCTATTTATCTCCCCATCTCCTTTGCCCTCAAGGGTAATCCTCCTGTGGGTTGTGGCTAGAACAGTCATTGAGAAGCTCCAAGTGACACGGAGCCTCTCCCCCATAGCTGGTGGCCATGGGTATCTTGGGCAGTCGGGGTGGGTGTCCTTCAGGGTTATTACTGGCCTGGGTAAGGTCACACTAGCGTAAGGTCTTGGGGGGCCTTAGCTGAGCGGAATTGAGATCTTTCCCCTAAAAGGCTCCGGGGTTGGGGGAAGGGTGGATGGACCTAGTTTGGAAAAAGAAACTTTAAAATTGGACATGGGGGTTCCTAAGGTAGCCCTTACATTCCTCCATGGATCCCCTCCCACAGAGCTTTTAGGGAAGGCTGATTGGACCAGAGAAGTCCAATGGTGTAACCAGGAGGGCTCACCTTAAAATTTCATACAATTTCAGGCCTGAAATTCAGGCAGGCTGGTCTGAAAGTCTTGGCATCTTTTGGTTAAAGGGATTTTTCCAGCCTTTCTCTGTGCTGAGCCCGGCCCGTGATTAGGAAGCCCACCCCTGGGAGGAGGCTAGCAGTAACATTCCCACTTTACAAGTGAAGGGGGCCGAGTTGTAAAGCGGCGCCATTCCTGCCCGGTGTTTAAGAGGGTCACACACAGAGCAGCTGGAGTGAGAGCTGCAGCGCGCCCTCTTCACCGGGCCTGCGGTAGCCTGGGCTGCATCACCCGTAAGCACAGGCCAGGAGTTTGGTGTTTCTCCTGCTGCCGTGACAGGAGACCCTTGCGCAGGTTGGGGTGATTTTCACCATTCCGGCAAGAGTAGATGGGGATCCGTCCCACCTTGGGATACCCTTGGAGAAAAGGTAAGTGGGTTCCACCACTGAGAGCACAGGTCGGGCTAGCCAAGGCCAGGGTGAGGTTCATTCCCACAACTGACTGCCATTAAATGCTGGGAATGCCCCCAAGAGAGGCTGATCAGGGGACCCAGCCTGCTGGGCAGAAGTGGGAGTGATACTTGAAGTGGTCTAGGGAGAGGAGGAGGAATGCTAGCAGCGTGTGAGGGGTGTGTCCATGATTTCATCTAGGAAAACGGGCTGTGGGAGCTCAGCTCAGGTGTTAACGAAATACCAAACTCATACCCCCACCCCCACTCCCGGCGGGTGACGGACAGGCTCATCTTCGGGGAACTCTTTTATTTTATTTAATTTTTGTTTTGTTTTAGTTTTTGTTTTTGTTTTTTGCGTACGTGGGCCTCTCACTGTTGTGGCCCCTCCCGCTGCGGAGCACAGGCTCCGGACGCGCAGGCTCAGCGGCCATGGCCCATGGGCCCAGCCGCTCTGCGGCATGTGGGATCCTCCCGGACCGGGGCACGAGCCCGCGGCCCCTGCATTGGCAGGCGGACTCTCAGCCGCTGCACCACCAGGGAAGCCCCGGGGAACTCTTTAACATCACAGTGATCATTATGGAATTATTTGTGTGTCCGCGGCATGTGGAATCCTCCCGGACCGGGGCCGAACCCCACATCCCCTGCATTGGCAGGCGGACTCTCAGCCGCTGCACCACCAGGGAAGCCCCGGGGAACTCTTTAACATCACAGTGATCATTATGGAATTATTTGTGTGTTAGAAACCAGGTGACTAGCAAAGCAGTCGAACTGTTTCTTTGGCTAGAGCAAAAGTGAGGAGTGATATTAGGCTGGGGTGACTGGAGGAAAAGCCCCAAGTGGATGCTAGGTTGAGCAGAGGAGGCGGAAGCAACACAGGCGGAGCTGGGGTGTGAGCAGTTTAGCCCCCCTCCCCGCCCCCCCACCCTCCCACGAAGGGGGTTGGAGTCTTGTCTTTGAAATGTCCTTAGATGCTTGTTGCCTGGGAAGGAAGGCGTGGAGAAGTGCCAGGTGGGGTGACTGGTGTCCCGGTGGGTGTGCCTAGTGTCACTGAGGGTCTTCTTCCTAGACAGGAGATAGGTAGGAGCAGCCCCTTGATGGCAGTGAAATGCTTTTCCCCCCACGGGCGTGGAAAGAGGACAGACGGGCCTGTAGCGATCTGGTTGAGTTCTTTGAAATTGCCCGTGACCCTTGTGTGTGCACCAGGAAGCCTTTCCCTTAGCTTTTTCAGGCCCCTCTTCCCTTGGTCTCCGCAGCTTCCCAGCCTCCCACCATTCTTTCCTTACCCTCTTTCTTCACCTTTGCCCCTGCCGACCCAAGTGAACATTGGTGCTATCTCTGTGTAGATGACATTTGGGGGATATTTGGTCTCTTTATGACATCAGCCTTTTTTGTTTATTAGAAGATAATGACCTCAGCAGCTGTTTCCATAGTAATTTGTAGCTCTGCCCTGGATTGGTTGGATCTTACTGTGAGGTCACTCACCCTCAGTTGAAAAGTAAGCCACCTTGGAGAGTTAGGCAGTTAGGGAGTTATCTCACGTGCCTACAGAAGGATCATCTAGGCACCTCTCCTTGAATCACCACTGCTCCAGCTATGAACCGGAGGAAGGGAAATTGTGAGTGGGCTACACGCCTCATTTTCTGCTTTCTTTGCTGGTTGTGTTCAGCTGCCCTGCCTTTGGGACGTTGTCTTTCTGAGGGTTTTGTGCTTCCTGCGTGTGAGGCCCCTGGCCTCCAAAGGAGGGTCTGTTGGTAGCAGATTGCCTTGGGCATGGGGCTCCTGCCTGCTCCTGGTGACCTTTGTTCCCTCCTTTCCGGGTTGTCTCCTCTCCCCTAGGCGAGTATAGTGCTGGAAGCAAACACGACCCCTTCGAAGCCCCAGAGGACAGAGATCTTCCCGGGGAGAAGCAGTTCATGGACACGGAGCCTGCCAGCGAGCCCCCCGCCGACCAGGCGGCCCCGGACGTGCCACGCAGCCCCACCCTCCGGCTGGACAGAAAGCGCAGGGTCTCTGGTGACAGCAACCACACTGAGACCACTGTGGAAGAGCTCCCGGAGGACTCTCTGCTGAAAGCCAAGCGGAGACGGGTCTCCAAAGGTGAGCTCGGTTTGGCTTCAGGCCCGCAGGGCACCCAGCGGAAGTCCTGGAGCGGAGCAGTGGAAAGTTCCAGTCCCACCCTGGAGCCCTGGGGGGAGCCACTCACACCTCCCCACCCCCCACCCCCACCCCCACCCCCACCCCCCAAGCCAGGTGCCGGGGCTGGAGCCCAAAGATGGCCAAAGGCAAATAGGCCCCCTCCCGAGACTTGGTGACAAGTTCCAGCCAACACAGTGACCACACCCCCTCCCCCTCCCCCCACCCCTATTAGTGATGTGTAAGACAGTTTGTCCCCCCCACCACCACCCCGGGGGGCTTCTTCATTAATTTGTAGTTATTTCTCCATTAGATGACTGGCCTGAGAGGGAAATGACAAACAGTTCCTCTAACCACTTAGAAGACCCACATTATAGTGAGCTGACCAACCTGAAGGTGTGCATTGAATTAACAGGGCTCCATCCCAAAAAGCAACGCCACTTGCTGCACCTTAGAGAACGGTGGGAGCAGCAGGTGTCGGCAGCAGAGAGCAAACCTGGCCGGCAGGGCAGGAAGGAAGTGACCACCTTGCGGTCACCCCCCAGGGCAATAGCATCTCCGAAGAGAAACCTGGCAGGAAAAGGGCAGAGGCCAAAAGCAACAGAAGTTGGTTGGAGGAGTCACTTAAATGCAGTGACAATGAACAAGGTACGCACGGGGCGGGGGGCGCTCCTGGAGGGTGGATCACCCGCCCTCTGTGGGGAACGGCCCTGGAGGGGACCTGAGCGCCATCCAAGTTGACAAGAGTAGCGTGTGGCGAGCGGGGAGTTTCCTTCATGAGGTCCTTTCAGCCTGCACACTTCCTTATGGAATGTACAGTGAAGGCGGGGAGCTCGGCTTCCTCGTAACCCAGCCCGCGGCTGGGCAGGAAGGGAAGTCTTGGGTGACCCCGGGCGCTTCTCAGCGCCCTCATTCCAGCCTCAGGCTGTCCCCAGTCGCCCTGTCCCGAGCACCCAGGCCCCCCACGGGTGGGGACGGGAGCTCACGAAGGGCTGGCTTCTGCCCTCTCTTGCGGCCCTTTGAAGCAACTTGCCATCTGGTGTTTCGTGGGTTAACCTATTTGCCGGTTGAATGTGGGATAATTAAAATATTAATGCTTTGAAAACATAATTGGTATATCTTTAAAAACTGAAGCCGCTCCAATGATCGGTGCTAACAATGGGCTTTTCTTCCCTCACTGGCTACAACTGTGTAACGCCCGTTTCTTCTCCCCCTGCCTCCCGCCCTCCCCCCCTGTGGATTCAGCCTTGCCTGTGTTCTCCGGCTCTCCGCCCATGAAGGGCCTTTCATCCACCAATGCAAGCGGCAAAAAGCAGACTCAGCCAAGCTGCACGCCAGCCTCAGGACTGCCTACCAAACATGACCAAGTTAAAGAAAGCCAGAAGACAGATGTGGTGTGCATGGACGTAGAAGAGGATTGCCAGGCTACGTCCCTGCTGCAGAAATACACCGACAACAGCGAGAAACCATCCGGGAAGCGACTGTGCAAAACCAAGCATTTGATCCCTCAGGAGCCCAGGCGGGGCTTGCCGCTGCCAGGGGACTACTACGTGGACAATGCCGATGGCAAGGTACCTCTTGCCCCTGGCTCTCCCCTGCCCCCCGGGCCTGTGTGAGCACATCCCGCCTGCCTACTTCTCTGCCTCTGGGGACAAAGCTTTCCTTTTCCTGAACCCCTCCCCCCAAAACGTCACTGCCCCTTCCTAGGGGTCCTGTCTCCTGGGTGGTGGTGAAGTTTCCAGCTAGTAAAAATGCAACCCCTTCCTCCCACCCTGCCTCCCCCAGACAGAGAGGAGGAAAAGTGCTTTCCTCCACTCAGGTTTGTAACTCGGGGAGGAGGGGAACCAGGCGGGTGGTGGAAGGACAGCCTGAAATGTGTGCGCTGCCTGGTTTCGTGATAGGTGACCGTCCGGAGATTTCGAAAGCGGCCTGAGCCCAGTTCCGACTATGATCTTTCGCCGGCCAAGCAGGACCAGAAGCCCTTGGACCGTTTGCAGCAATTGCTACCAGCTTCCCAGGCCTCGCAGCTGACATGCTCGAGCTCCCCTCCAGAGACCACCCAGTCCCGCCCAATGCCACCGGAGGCGCGGAGACTTATTGTCAATAAGAACGCGGGCGAGACCCTCCTACAGCGGGCCGCCCGGCTTGGCTACGAGGTGAGCATCCTTGTGGGTGCCCCGGATTCAGGATCCGCCGGCTGCTGCTCCTTGGGTGGGAGACACACTGGCTGGGGATGGGGGGGGGCGGGTCTCAGAGCCACGTGGCGGCCTGGGCTGGGCGTTCCAGCAGGGTGTTTGTGTTGGCCCCGCTCACACTGCCGGCTCTTCGGTGGCTTGTTCAGTCGTGGTGTGAAGAGAAAGACAGGCCTCTCTGATGTTCCGTTCACGTTCAGGCAGGTAGGCTGCTTCGGCCAGTCTGGCTCACTTATCTCTGATATAAAATCTGACCTAACCCAGGGCTTGGCGACCAGGGGAATTTTAATGAGCGCTTTTGGATTCTGAATAGCAAGAGGGAGAGTAGTTATTAGCTCTATTTTGGGTTACTTGTGCTGTTTGGGGCAGAGTGATGTCCCTGTGGGGTAGCGGGTGGGAAGTGTCTGTGCAGCGTAGGGGTGGGAGTGGGGCAGACCTGAGCAGTCTCTTTCTGAGAGGGCACAGGAGCCGAGGGCTGGTGGGCGGGGAGGGGGAGCGTTGAGCCTTGCACAGAACTCCCTGTCCACACCGCTGTATCCCAAACCAGCACGGCTGATGACAGTGATAGCCTCTATTGCTAGAGCAACATAGACAGAAAGATAGCTGATATCTTTCTAAGTCCGTGTGATCTGTAGTAACTCCTTTCACCCTTTTATCATCTTCACGTGGGAGTAACGAGTACTAGCCCACTCTCGGATGAGGAAGCTGAGCCTCAGAGGGGTTAGCTGATGCCCGTAACAGGTAGCAATCCAGCAGTGCTGCACAGCCCACCACTCCCCACCACGCTTCTCCCCAAGACTGGCTCACACTGGAATTGCCCTTTTTACAGTTCAAAACCTCTGCGAGACAGATTACTCCCTCCGCCCTGTGCAGTTCCCCCACCATACTTGTCAGTAGAAATTGTGATGTAATAGCCCACAGGGCAAAGGCATTTTTTTGTGCTGGCATCAGCCCTCTGGGAGTTGAATGGTGACGGTAAAATGCGGCTCAGCAGGCTGAGGGTGGAGGTGTGGACGAGCACTGGGGTGGCAGGACCCAGGCTGGCCCGGAGCCCTGGCGCCCACACCCTCAGCCAGCTCTGTGCCCCTGTCCCCTGTCTCCCCCGCCCCCCCACCCCCACCGTCCGTCGTGCTGTGAGCCCTTCGAGGTGAGCCTGCCTTGGCCCTAAGGCATGACTGTGGGCGGGAAGTTGGAAGCGCTAGGGCTATGCTTAGTTTGGGGGTGTTTTTTCGTTGTTGTTGGTTGAATGTGCTGCTGTTTATATCTACACATCTCTTGGAGACCTCTCCACTAGCTAGAGAGCACTTTCTGGTAGGTAGCGAGTGCGGTTACTTGCAGGTGAAGTCCAAGGAGCACCCAGTTGGTTTCCCAAGAGCTGAGAGCAGCAGCGCCTAGGAGGACAGAGCAGACGTTGCACAGAGTGCTGAGCTAGACCCCCCGTGGTTGAGAAAATAGACTCCTTGCTTCCAGCAAACGCTGGAGGCGGGGGGCGGGGAGCCCCCTAACCCCAACTTTTGGGTTAGGATTGAGAAAATAGATTCCCGCTTCCAGCACATGCTGGAGATGGGGGGGGTGGGGTGCTCCTGCACCCGCCGTGGAGGGCGGGGTTCCTAGCCCCACCTGTGAACTTGGCATCATTTCCAGCAGTCTCCCTTTGGGACCAGAGACCTCAAAAGGCCCTCGTTGGTCTTCTAAGACAGTTTCCATTTCGGTTTGGTGGGTCTGAGGCCTGGACCAAGGGGCACTCGATCCATACTTTTTTAGGCTACCTGGCCTTTTGATTGCACAGGAAGCCTTGGGAATGTTTATGGTCGGATTTGTTTTTTTTTCTTCAAATGTAAATTTCAATATGTAGATTACACAGGTCACCAGTTTGGATGCTGAACACGGTGACAAGTAGATGAACGCTTCCAACTTTGAATCCAACTTTCTGGGATTTCTCTGGGCAGAATTTTAAATGTTGGGATGATGGCCCAGTTGGGAGATGGGGCAACTTAAACCTTTTAAAATTGAAGGACAGTTTGCTTAACCAGGTAAGGGTGTGGTTTGGGAGGGTTTTCCTGAAGTTTTGTCTTCAGCATTCTTGGTTATCTTCTGCTTATAGCCAAAGATACCATGTGCAGTATAAAGGCTGTCTGAGCTTTATGTCGTGGTAATCTGGTGCTGGAAGTTTAGAAACACACTCTGGCTTCAGACCCGCGTTAAATAGATCACTTGCGTGGCCAAAGACCTCAGACCTTTCCCTCCCGGGAAAAAGGCTTCTACTTCGTAGGCTAAAACGCCAGTGTGCAACCACATGCTTGTGCCTTTAGCGGTGATGGTTACATTTTCTATGAATTGAATAAATCATGTTTTTTAAAAAGTTAATGAGGCATTTAATTAATTAACAACGTCGGGTTTATGGCCTTTATGGTCACATTTTGCGGGTAATGGCATTCGGCTTCTAGCCGCTTAACAGACAGTTGTCCAACAAAGGCAGTTTGATTTTGCTCGGGAATGGGTGGGGCTGCCCTTCAAACACTCCCGTTTATTTCTAGCGGAGAAGATAAACCAAGAAGTGTGTTGCGTAGACAGACTCGCCCCGCCTCTTCACCTTTCAGTTAGAGAAACTGTTGGTGACCGACGGTTGCCATCCATTTAGAGGCCATCGCCCTCCTAGCTAGGAGAGTGTAGTTAGCCCACTTGACCCCCAGCAGAGAAGGCCTGTGGGATGCTCGTCACAGCTGGATTGCATCCCTCTAACTGGGGCCCTCTTGGGCCTTCTGAATCTTCCCAGCTGACCAGGTACCAAAGACCTGAGTTGTAGGTCTAAGTACTCCATGTCAATTGAACTTGGGGTTTAATATCTCTGGGCCTCAGTTTCCAAGTGTTGAATGCGGAGGATAGTACTACCTTCCTTTCCTGATATCTCCTGGCTTCCTGTGGATGACAGAAGACGTGGTATCAACGTGGCTGAGTTAGGACAGCCCGTGGCAAAAAGTCTGACCTGGCCGTGGGGCTACTGCTGCCTTTGCTGCCATCTTCCAGGAGAAGAGAGTTGACTTACCCATCAGCTTGGACGGCCTTTCATTTCTAGGTACCCCTGAATCGGCCCTAGTAGTGTTGAAGGTTTCCAGGTGAAGGCCATGATTGTCACAGCAAATAAACCCTGGGTTGAGTACATTGATCTGTGCACAGCAGTTGGTGGCGTTCAGACCTGATCCCAGAGCCACGTGACAGGGCCTCTCCCTGGCTGGGGCACACAACTCATTAGCTTGCAGCCGTCCACTCAAGTCTGGCTAGTGAGGGCCTGCTAAAAGAGCAGCAGCTTCATGCGGTATCCTGGATACCAGGGCTCGGGGCAGGTGGCCTGGGAGCCCAGAGGATTGTGGGCTTTATGGCAGGTTGGGATCTAAGCAGAGAAACGCATTCGTGGGCGTGCCTTTTCTCTTCCTCCTCTTGTTTTGGAAGGGAGCTGCCGCAGTGACCTGAAGTAACAGGGCACCGATGGCCAGGTTTACCAGCATGCCCCATTAGGTTCACGTGGCGAGCAAATGGAACGTTCTAGTTCGCTCCCAAGTGAGTGGTCGCCTTTGATTGGCGTGTCCTCCAAAGGGCATAAAAGGTTTTACAGAACCCATCTCGCACTTACGGGCGGCTAGAATGACCCCCGTTTTAGGTTTAACAGATGAGTTACCTGAGAGATGTCACAAGGAGGCCTGTTCTGACCCCATCCCATCCCCCCTTACCCAGCAGACCATGTGTTGGGCCACATGCGAGTTCTGCCTATACTCCCAGCTCTCAGAACCTGACAGCTCTCTGCTGGGCATGACTTAACCGGTATAAACAGTATAACCTATTTTCTGGTGGCAGATGCTTTCGATGTGTTTGAAAACTTCCTTAAGGTAATGAAACATTGAATAAATTACTGCTCTGCTTACTGGGAGTGGTTCGTATTAATATTTTAACAAGCCAAAGAAATAAGATTAATAACAGTGATTCTAATGCACAGTGTTGACACAGAACACCTTCGGAGGGGGGGAGGGTGAACGTTTTATTTGATTCTTAAAATGTGGAGGTTGCAACATGTGGTATATCAGGTTCCCGTCATTAACTTGAGTAAATATGAAAATATGAGACTGCTTCTGCCCCGAGACGGTGGAGTGAGGCAAAATAGAGGGGGGGGGGTTATTGGAAGCATTTTGTGTCTGTCATTCCTCGAGGATGGAGAGAGAGAGCTTCCCTTTAACTCTACTTAACATACAAACAAGAGCATCTGAGGCCCAGGTTCTGATTTGGGGTCTTAACAGGGGGCGCGAGGATGTAGCTGACCTGGGTGTCCCTCCTTCTCTAAGCTGGGGAATGTTCTCTGGCTGATTTAAGCTCTCTTTAAGCATGGGTCATCCATACGTTTATCTGAACTTGTGTTGTCATCCACTGCCACCGACTGAACGGACCCATCAAGTGAGAATGGTGTGTGCTTGGCAATGTGTCATCTAAGATGTTAGCAGCCGTGACACCTCTCTCTGTACTGGTCACGTCGGCCCCCGGGCTGAGGGTTTCCATCGCTATCCGAATGCATCCTCTCAGCAGCCCTATGGAAGCTCAGAGAAGTTGAAGGGTGACTTGCCCATGGCCAGGCCACTGGTGCAGCAGAGCCTTAGACAGCACTGTCTGCATCTCCAAGCCCTTCGCACGCACTCTTGCCCCCCACCGAGATGCCTGCCGCCTGCCCGCGCCATGGTGGGCTTTTGGACCCACGGATGTATGCCTTTGAAAGTGGGCACCGCCAGGCTGTGGAGAGGTCACCCTTACAAGGTTCACTGTATGGTGGTCTGATGGTGTCTCCTCTCCTCTCCCCATAGGAAGTGGTCTTGTACTGCCTGGAGAACAAGATTTGTGATGTGAACCACCGCGACAACGCGGGTTACTGTGCCCTGCACGAGGCTTGTGCAAGGGGTTGGCTCAACATTGTACGGCACCTCCTTGAATATGGCGCCGATGTCAACTGCAGTGCCCAGGATGGAACCAGGTCAGTGGCGGTCTTGCTCTTGGCCTGGCCCTGCTGGGGCATAGGCAGTGGTTCTCAGGGTGTGCAGGGAACCCCAGAAGGAAAGATGGAGAGTGAGTGCCATGTAAGCACACTGATGGCGGAGTCCTCTAGAATGGAATCGGGCAGATCTTTCTGGCAAATTTACATAGAACTTTAAAACTTTGTGATGCTATTATTTCAGGGACAGAAGTCCCTGAAAATGTTGGGCCTGCCTGAATAATCAGGGGTGTTCTCTTTTAAGACCCTGGACTCTCCACCAGCGTCTGTTGAATCACAATATTTAAAATATATGTGAGTTGAAAGTTCCAGGAGTACAGACAGGTCCGATGGCGACTGGCTTGATAGGACCTGCCGTGTCCACCCACATCCCCGGGCCTGGCCCCCACTCTGTCCTTGACCTCGGTTTATTGGCCAGAGGCCCAGGTCTGAGCCAGCCCAAGCATCTTTCTGGTTGTGCCTGGGATGCTACCACGAGGCAGGGCACTGGAGCCTTCCTGACAGTCATAAAATTAGCAAAACCGAAAGGTATTTGGTGGTTCATGGTTTCCAAGTAGCATTCTTTTCTGGTTGGGACTGCGGACAGTGTTCCTGACCCCAGCGGACACAGCCAGGAGGACTCTGTACCCTCCTGAGAACTCGCCCTGCCTGTCGACTGCTTCTGGGCGAGAGGGTTGATCACTCGTCTCCAAGTTGGTTTCGGGAGAGGTTCCACTTTGCCCCTAGTTTCTTTTACAAACTGCACTTTTTTTGTTTTGTTTGTAATGGTATAACGATTGCTTGTCGTATAGGCTTCCATGATGCTGGGATTCTTCCCCCCACCCCGCCGTAAGTTATCTGCTTACAGTCTGTCACTGTTTAAGTTCATTGGAAACGTTTTCATCGTGGCCCGAGTTCCTCGTTGGGCCGTGCATTAAGAGAGATTTGCATTTAAGAATTAGGCCTGAGATCGTCCCTTCGCCTGTCCTGTAAAGGGTTGTGTGTCGAAATAACAGAGTAATTTGGCGCTTGACCGTGGGCCAGTCACAGTGCCTCCGTTCCCTATGTGGAATGGCAGTGACCGTACACTCACCTCCTCGGTGAAATAGCGCGCCTACAAGGCTTGGCTGCACACGCTCGATTTGGCCCTGCGTCGCTAGAAGCAAGCGTCGCGTGCACAGGTGTAATCCCCCGCACCTCTCCTAGGCCTCTCCACGATGCTGTCGAGAATGATCATCTCGAAATTGTCCGCTTGCTCCTCTCCTATGGTGCTGATCCCACCCTGGCTACATACTCAGGTAGAACCATCATGAAAATGACCCACAGCGAACTTCTGGAGAAGTTCTTGACAGGTATGGCAGAGATCAAGAAACGGTCTTGTTCAAGCATCTAGATGGTGACTTCACAGGCTTTCACCTGGCTTCCCCCTACCCCCACCCCCCGTTTACCCTAAGTGACACTTTACTGGGAAAAGTGGCCTAACGTTAGTCTGTCAAAGAAGAGATACGTACTTTGAGTTTTGCAAGGGAGGGCTGGAAAACTCTTAGCTAGCCAGGCTAGCTTTTGTTTGGCAAGCTGGGGCGGTGAGGTGGGCAGTCCCTCGGGGAGGTGGGTGGACGCGTGGGTAGGTTTCAGTCAGATACCTGGAGGCATGTGCAGTGGGACTTGTCGGGAGGTGACACCAGCCCCAGCGTGAGATGTTCCCTAACTCCAGCAGCATTTGCCTCTTGCCAGCAGGCGTTATCTTGTTTCTCCCTCTCCCTCCCTCCCTCTCTCTCTCTCTCTCTCTCTCTCTCTCTCTCTCTCTCTCTCTCTCTCTCTCTCTCTCTCTCTCTCTCTCTCTCTCTCCCCTCCCCCCTCTCCAGACTATTTAAACGACCTGCAGGTTCCTGATGACTATGACCCCAGTGGCTCTTGGGAGTTCTATGGCAGCTCTGTGTGTGGTGAGCAGCCTTGTTCGTTTCATTTGGGCGGGATGTGCATGAGTTACAGGACGTTTCTCTCTGGTGCGGGCGAGGGCTTGCGGGGGTGCTGGTGCTGTGAGCAGGGCTCACTCGGGAAATAATTTTTCCAGGGTCCTTTTTGGAGAACAGCTAGAATCTTGCTCCAGCTTACTGACCTCTCTCTTGTTTGCCTCCCGGTTAGAACCAGATGATGAAAGTGGTTACGATGTTTTAGCAAATCCCCCAGGACCGGAGGACCAGGATGACAGCGACGAGGCCTATGGTGACCTATTCGAATTTGAATTTTCTGAAAGCCCCCTTTTGCCGTGTTACAACGTCCAGGTGTCCGTCGCTCAGGGGTGAGCGTGGCCAGCGTGTGGTCGAGAGCCAGCCCAGCTGCTCTATGGGGTGGCAGGAGTTAGAAATCCCCTTCAGCAGATGAAGGTGGATGGGCGGGGGGTGAGTGAATTCCTCACCTAGTGTCCACCGACCTCACATAATGCAGTAGAACTTGGCCAGAAGAGTTTGGGGGGTGGGAGGGCTCCCCAGCAAACTGCCTTCATTGGAACACACCCCTAGAGCCCAAAGGACACGGGAGTCAGTGACTGGAATTGCACAGTTTCAGTCACTAAACTCTTGGGGGGAAGGGATCCTCCCCAAACGGCTACCGTAGGGGCCTTCCAAGGCGCGTGAGGTCCACGGGACGATACTGATGTGCCCTCTTCTCGTATAAGATGAGAGAAAGCCATACGTGGCACCTGTCTTCAGATTTGCTTAGATCGAGTCTTGTCCCCACGGTCGGGCCACTGTGCCCCGTGACCAACCCTTCGGAGTGAACACGTCAGGAGACCTTGCTCTGCTGTGTGTTAAACCGCGGTGCCTAAGGAGTAGCATCCTCCTTGGACTCTGAGGCTGGGAACGTGTCTGCCTTTGTGGTGACATTCTATTTGGGATGGAGACCATAAAGCGTGGCACGGTACCAGGAAGGATTGTACCACCTCCCTTCTCGAAAGAGCCTCACTCCCGGAAGCATTGAGGGGCGGGTTGGAGGTGTGGGAAAGGAGGGGAAAGCCAGGTGACCTCGAGTGAGAGCCGGTGAGAGTGTATGAGAGCATACAGACTGGTTTTCCCCAGTGACTAGAACGGGGTGCACTTACTTGGAGAGGGGTGACCTGAGTTGTGGCCAGAGCCAAGGCAGCACTGGGGTGGCCTGCAACGAGGCTCGTTCAGGGACGCTGCTCCTTCTTTTGTCTAAGTCGGCTGATCCGCCCTAGATGGTCTCTTAACACATGCACACGAGTCCAGAGTTCCCCCGCTAGAAGTAGATCTCTTCCGGGCTTCCCTGGTGGCGCAGTGGCTGGGTGCTGCCTGGGGGGCGCGTGGCCAACCCCCCCCCCTGCCGATGCAGGGGACACGGGTTCGAGTCCTGCTCCAGGAAGATCCCACACGCCACGGAGCAACTAAGCCCGTGCGCCACGGCTACTGAGCCTGCGCTCTAGAGCCCGCGAGCCACAGCTACTGAAGCCCGTGCGCCTAGGGCCCGTAACAAGAGAAGCCACCGCGGTGAGAAGCCCGCTCGCCGCAACTAGAGAAAGCCCGTGCGCGGCAACAGACCCAACGCAGCCAGAAATAAATAAATAAATGAAATTTAAAAATAAGTAGATCTTCTAAGGACAGTGAGAAGTGGGGTGGGGGGTGGGGTAATCAAAGTGGGAGTGACGGGCCCTTTCACCGCCAGGAGACGGGTAGTTCATTGTTGGGAGCGCTTCCAATTTTGCCGGAAACTCAAACCACTGTCCTTTCTCTGGTGCAGGCCTCGGAACTGGCTGTTGCTCTCAGACACGCTCAAGAAATTGAAAATGTCCTCCCGCATATTCCGCTGCAATTTCCCAAATGTAGAAATTGTCACCATCGCGGAGGCCGAGTTCTACCGGCAAGTGTCAGCAAGTCTCTTATTCTCTTGCCCCAAAGACCTGGAGTCCTTTAACCCGGAAAGTAAGGAGCTCTTAGATCTGGTGGAGTTCACGAACGAGCTTCAGACTCTGCTGGGCTCATCCATGGAGTGGCTCCACCCCAGCGACATGGACTCAGACGACTACTGGTGAGCTCGCCGGGGCCTGCCGTGTACAGTGTGTCATAGTGTTAATCCTTGTGCATATGTGTCATAATACGACTATTTCTGTAAAGAAAGGGACACTATTACATATGAAAATATCTCTTCTTTATATAAGAGACACGACTCCAGTCGGAAGGACTTAGAAACATGTTTTTTTCTTTTTAAACTTTTAAGTCAGTTTTTATGAAGTTGTTATAATGTTTCTTTACTTTTCAATGCACACATGCTTTGGGATATGTTTGTTTTTACTCGGAACAATTGTTTCTTTTCTTTTTTAAGGAGAAAAAAAATAAGGAAAAGGAGCTCCACGCTTTGACTTAATTTCGTACAAAGCGCCGACGACAGAGGCCATAACTGTTGAGAGTGTGGTCAGAACCGTGTGGTTGGTTTGGGGGGTTGAATTCGGGGAAGGCGCTTGGCGACGTTGTAACTTTATGTTTTGTTTACAGAGTACCTGCTCAGGCCAGGTCAATGCTATTGGATGTGATCCAGTAGTGTGTAATATAAATTCAAACCATATCCACACACAACAACTAATTGTATGAAACTTTTATATCCTAATTTAAAAGCTGTGAAATTAGTTTTCACGCATCAAACCGGATTGTTTATATGTTTAAACATTTTATGCTCTTATTTAAAGAAGACTTTGAGCTATTTTTTTCTGTACCCTGTAAAATACTGAAAACTAACATAATATGTTGAGGTTGCTTGAAATTGTACATAAAACTAAAATTTTCTGAATTGTGTGTTTATGTTTGAAATCTGTGTTTTAACTTTGTAAGTAAATTCTCTGCCTTTGTATTTATATTTTACAAAAATTTTCTTAAAAGGCAATAAACCTGTTGAGGAAAGGAGAAAATTGAGGTATCCTGTTTCCTATGTATTTTCCTAAAACATTACTCTTGTCACAATTTTTTTTTTTTTTAAAGTGGTGTTGATGGTCGGTTCCCTATAGATAACTTTAGGGCAATTTATAGTCTCTGTGAACTGAAACAGACTAGAAGATTTCAGGGGAGTGAGACTCTGAAGACAATTTGACGTTCTGTCCTGAAAACTCAGTTCATAGACGTATATGTTCATGTTTCTCAGATCCTTCTCAACCTTATCTCCTCTGATGCCCTAGTAGGCTTTTACATTGCCTTTGACCCTGATGGACTATAGTAGCTTCATCATGGCCAACCCTTTATCTTTAGGAATACTTTTTCCAGAAACAGGACTTTCATTGTGTCACTTCTCCCTCCAGACCTCGTGTTTTTCCGTGACCTTTTAACATGAAGTCCAAACCTGCTTGGCCCAATAGTCAAGGCTTGTAGTTTTGACCACTCGGCTACTCTACTGCTCTTACTTCTTGCAGCAGTATCCCTGTTGGGGACTATCCATTTCCATCCTACATCCTTTTAATTCCTTCTTTCATTGCAGAGGCTAGAAACCTGAACACTACTAGACTCCCTTGCCGCTAGGATTCTGAATGGTCGGTTTGGAAGGCAGAGCGAGGTAGAGGCATCTTCCTGCTCTACTGGCTGCTGGTAAGAAGGGTTAGGGAGACATGCTGGCCAGTTTTAGTGACCTGACCAGCCTTCCAACACTGGGTCTTCAGCTTTGTGGGTAATGAGACGCAGTAGTGATTGTGGTGATGCCTGGATGACAACCTCAGCAGACTGTTCTTAAATCCAGCGGTTCTGGTGTCATCCCTGACTCACATTCCTCTAGCCCTCCCAAAGATTTTATAAGCATCTGATTCCTTGTATCGAGTCCATTTGGGATCAGAATGCCCTTAGTGCTTTTCAGTCTTGCAATGAACCCTGAGAACACCTAGGCAGAGCAGACGGAAGGGGCCGTGGAGATGATGTACTTGAGTGGGGTCGTAAAGTATGCAGAGGGAGGGGACCTGCCAAGCTCTGTGACCTGGCAGGTGGGAAAAGTGAGCTGTGTTTGGGAATATGGGGAAATCCAGCACTGTCAGAGGTGGCAATGAGAGAGAGCCCATTGTTGGTGAGTACCAAATGATGCTTGGGATGTATCCTGAAGACAAAAGGGAACCAACAGTGTTCTTGATTTACTAATTTTTTGATCACAAAAAAGTACTCTTGCATCGTTTTTAAAAAAAATCCCAGCATTTCAGAAATAGGGGTTCTTGTCATCCCAGGCCAACCCTTCCCCCCACTCCCCACTCTGGAGTTAAAAACCAGTGTTCACAGTTTGCTGAATATTGTTTATTAGGAAGTCATCTCAAACAACAGGAGAGAAAGACAAAGTAAATAGCAAGACCTGAAGAAATGATCGAAACGAAAGAATACCAGTGAGCCTGAACTTCTGTAGGTAACGAGGAGCTCCTAAGGGCCCAAATAAAAGCAATGAGTAACTCCAAGGTATTTGGCTCTTTGTATTTGC